CCGCGCGTTAATTTATAAGGCATACCGATCTGAAAGAAGGATGAGCAACGCGTCGCGTGATTACGACGGAAAAACGGTTCTTGCGAAAGGCAGGCGGAGGAGATAACGATGAAAAAGGTGAAAGAGCACTTAGCCGAGGTCATCTCGATACAGACACGGGGGGAAAGTAAATTCCTTTTTGCTAATTAATAGCTATGGCACTACTGGTCACACATCCTCTTTGTACCTCTTATAACTTATCCGTGAGATCACGACGATCGTTTCGAAGCGCTCGATCTATAATCCGGATTCGAAGCGGAATTCCAATGATAATTTTACGCACCGTTGAAGATTTCCTCAAATGTCATCCGTTTTCCCGCAAATAGAATTCCGTCGCGGATGGTAACGCACCTTCTGTGCGAGATAATATGCTTTCTTGAATATTCCGCGTTTGATTTCCCCCGACACCACAAACCGACAAACGTAATGCCCGGCCATTGATAAACCGCGTTTTGTGCAGTCGTGTACCGTGAGAAAAAGTTCCGTGTCGACAATTACCTTTCCGGATGAAAACGCGTCTGTCACGCTCAAGTAAGCGTACCTTTCCGGGTATCGATACCGGGACAGGTCGATGACTCGTTTGAGAAATTATCTATTCCTCCTCCGCACCTGTGTCTCTCCTTTCTCTCTCCGTCTCTAAAATGTCGGCTCCATGCCAATTGTACAATTGTAACGCAGTCATAACTGAGGTAACAGTTTTCATTTCGCCCGTTACCGCGGAAATTACGGCCGCTGCAGAAAGAAAAGGTGGATGCGAGGCAAGCCGGATGTTTCCACTCCGTGGCTTCGTTGATTTGACCCTTCATCGAGCGGGCGGGAGAAAAACCGAGCGATTCTCGGCATGGAACATTCGATCGGAGCGTCCGATACAATCTCGACGATGATCTTCGAATTAGGGATGTCATGAGAGTATCGATGTGATTGGAAGTTCAATCAAGGGTATCACCAGTGAGCAAAAATATCGATATTATATCAGTCGTATCACAACTGCATCCCTACCGCATCTCGCTTCGAATAATTAGAGGAAGAAAGCGCACGACCCTAATTAGAGATCGCTTTACACAATTCTCGACTACTTACACGAATTATATATAAATGTGTACATTTGCTTATTTCTTTTATATTAGGAATATTGCATACGGTGCGCGATCGCGCGCAGCTAAACCGACCATCCCGGGGTCACGATGGATGCGTTGCACAACCACGCGTCGAGACGTAAAACCTCTCGTCGCGCAACAGGACGAATCGGCTGAGTGATTAGAAAAAAAAGTCGCTTTAGAAAGATTTTTCGTGACCAGCTGCACATGATCAAAACGAAAATTGCTTTTCACATTTCTGACTTGTCCGAAAAAATCAACATTTGGAGAATCCACCAACATCCTGCGCTCGGCTCTTTCTACATTCTCCTTTGATTCAAGATCCCGAGAGAGCCTAATATTGTTCAATTTGTGCTTTGGAGAAACGCTCTCTGATAATCTATGAAGCGAATATATTTCAGGAGACTTCTCTTGGAGCAGTGCTGGAATGATCGTCCGTTACGCGCGCAAAATGTGCCGCGTAATCGCGATTAAAACGCGTTTATTCGCCGCGGCGCGGATGAAAGTTCGCCGAGACAAGAGGGGAGTCACGAGGTTCTCGATACGAGACGCGATCGTTTTTGCGCGAAAATTACGTCAAGGAAAGGAAAGTGACACGCTTGTGGCGGCGGCGAAATTTTCACCTGGCGAAGAAGCTGTCACGAGAATGATGATGATGATAAGAATTAGAGACGACACGCGCCGGCAAGTATGACACCTGTAGAATCGTCCCGGCGAAAAAGTTGGATAAGAGAACGCCGGGGAAATCGAGTTGCGCGTGAAAATCCCGAGACCGTTCGGTCAGGAGTATAAATTAACGAGTCGATTCGTGTTGAACCGCAGAGGTGGTTCAAGTGAAACCGCCGCTCAAACACAGGCTAATTAGAAGGAAATATATGGGATATAAATATGTTTATCGAAAATTAGGACAGAGATATTAGATAGCGAGAGAGACTTATTTGGATTTAATAAAATTCCTTTCACGAGACAAATTTGTCAACAAATGTTTGGCTCCTAAACAATATCTCAAATAAATGTCATCTTTATCCAAACATTACAATCGTTGTCGCAAACGATCAGTTATTTGAAACACCACGTTAGAAAAACGTTCAAGAACCTTTCTTTCTTTCAGTGGAACAATATTTAATGAAATACATTTTTTTTTCCTTTGAAAACCAAATATTCCGTTCTACTGTTGAGTTATTTTTTCCCTGTACATCCCACAAAAACACCCCGTTAAGAAACATCTTTCGGCAAGAAAAATGCGAGGAAACATAGAGAGAAACGCGGCCCAAGAATGATATGTATCGCACGGACAAAGTTACGATCGAAAGAAATCGCGGAGGAATAAAGTCTCGAAAGTTGCCGGCGGCGATGTGGGCCAAATACTAAACCAGTCGTTCGTTCGAGCACGCAAGAACTGGGAACGCTCGAAGGAGCATGGAAAGTTACGCGCGCGAGATCCCGTATGCTCGAATAGTTATATAAACTATTACCGGTCGCGCTCGCAAACACGGCGCGAAATGTCGCTAAACTCGGCGGAATTGCTAACGAGCCAAGTTGCTGATAGAAGCGAATAATTCCCCGTGAACAGACAGAAACGCAGCGTTTATCAAATCCGTCAGTTTTGGAACGTTATTCGCCTGAAAACACGAAGATCGCGTACGAGAATCATCCCGGCTGACTTTCGTGGTGAAAATGTTCCCTTACCGGTTCGCCGAGTTTGGAAAAACTGTCCGGTAAAAGGCGGCCGGTCGTGTTATTAATACAACGTGTCGCGCGATTCATACATCTTGCCGGCCTATCGATTCGTGCCGCAGTATATTTCTTATCCAATTAGTTCTTGCGTTCGTTGCGTAACGCATTAAGGAAATTCGTACCTACCTGGATTAAATATAATTTACGGAGCGCCGCGACTAGAGTCGGCGACTAAATACTCTCTCTCTCTCGCGAATATTTAAAATTGATTTTTAGTTACGGCGCCGTCGTAAACAAGGTACTTAGATGGTGCGCGCGTGTGTAATTATAACGTCTCGCGGCGTGTGTGATTTATGCCATCGTTCCTCTTACCCTCCGATATCACTTTCGCGGAATCGCACGAATTTATCCCCATTCGTAACACTCGTCGATGTGCGTCGGGAGAGTAACGATACTTATAAATCCGCGCGCGGAGATTATAAATCAAGCTGAGTAACTATAACGGATAACGCGCTTTCGAGAGAGCGATTCATCGTCGCTTTTAATCTCGCCGCGGAAGAGAGAAAATCGACGAATGGAATAGCACGTTCGAGTCAACCGACACTTTGTCCGCGACTGAACACTCGAGAGCCTCCCATCCTGTGTTCGACGACTGGTTTTCAGGCAAAACCGAAGCAACACCTTTGCGGCACTTCCGTCTTTCGCGAAGCGTTTTCTGTTTCGGGGCTTTCGGGCACGATGAAAGGAATGAAATATAGGGAATAAACGCGGGACAAACGAAATTTTGCGTTTCTCTTGGCGTGGAGAAGCAATCGCAGACCGAGCAAGAAGTTTTTCGACTGTCAGCGATGACCGATCGGATTTTACCGAGGCGAACCATGCGTTACAGGCGCAAGTACCGATCGTAAAACACGGGATGTCGAAAAATCGTCGCGAAGCAATCTTAATACCGCGTCGCGTTATCGGCGGATGAATCGGCAATTAAACGGCCAATAAAGTGTCGCATCGTTATGAAACGTATTGACAGCGATCGCGATGTCATCTCTCCGAGACATGTTCGCCTTTAGAGAGCACTTTATTCACAAGCCTACCGGAAGCCTCGAATCAAATGCGATTATGTGTCTACTCGACGGGGAAATTCGAAATAGAAGATTGCGTAAGAGAAAATGTACCGACAAAAGTGTTCGTTCGTGTTTGCGTAGACAGAGAAGAAGGTTCCTTTGGATTTAATGCTGGTTTATAATTTATCGTTTATGACAATCATCGTTAATACAAGAGAAACATGTTATTTGAGGAAGTGTTATTTATTGTTTGAAAAACCAATCATTCCAAAAACATTCGTTCGTTTGCTCTGTTCCAAAAGACAAGTTCGTTTCAATTAACGAAATTTGATTAAATCCAAAGAAATTTGGTATACCATGAAAAGTCGCGTGAGGATCGTTGAAACGTTAAGTTTGCGGATTCAGGTCAGAATTCGTGTTCCGTTTGTTGAGAAAAAGAGAAAATATTTAGTAAATCTCACACAAGTGTTTGTTGTATAACACGTAAATTAGAGATCGTCTAAAGTGAGCCCACGCGAAAAAAAGAGGAGGGAAAAAAAATCCCGAGGCGAAACACACACGTCACGTTCATTCATCCCCGCGCGCGTTACACAAGCGACGTGTACCCGGCAATTAACCCATTCGAGAGCGCTTTCCCTATTTTGACACGCCACGAGTCACGCGTCGTAAACATCCGTAGAACGATCAAATGTGATACTTTTTGCAAGCACTCAGTGCGAGATACGATATCGATTTCCTCGCGAATACACAAGTGTACGACAAACTGCACGCACCGTCCTTACATAAAAGCGTTCGCAGCAAAAAGTTTCCGACAAATTAACGATAGCGAAGAAACGGCTCGAAAAAAGCCCCCCTATCGACCGCAACGTACGCAAACCACGACGTCATTGCGTAAGAGGCGGGCGAAAATGATCGATTTCGCCTCTCCTCCGTTCAAGGAAATGGAAGGACATTTATGCGAGTAGTAATTAGAGCACGCGAGATGCAATAGCAGAAAAGCCGTATCTAATAACCAGCCGCAGATGAGGTTCCAACTGATCTCGGCTGTACCGTTACGTAAAGACGCTCCTTGAGCTCGTCTCTGATACGCTCTCTCGCGTCCGCGCGACGAGATATCTCGACTTACCTTGCCGGACGTCGGGCTGAGACCCTGCTGCTGCAGGTGATACATTTTCGGGGTGAGCATAGCTGGTGGTGAGCCGAGGCTACCCGGGGCGACAGCCACGCTCGTCATGGTCATTTCCCGCGACGGTCGCAGACCTCTTCGCAACACCGCGCCCTCCTGTCCGCCGCGCAACCGCGCATCCTCAGGCGAGTCTGTGAAACGATCGATTTACCCTTTATAAATGCTGATCCGTGAAGAAGAAAAATGTGCTGACTGATCCTATTTCCGTTTCGCGGAGAGCTGATTTGGCTACGATGCCGGTACTAATTGCATTAATATCTCCGCAGTGGGATCTCTACGATGCAACGGCGAGACGATGAATCCGGGTTCGACAGTAGCAACAGTTTCCTTGCACAATCATCGCGATAAGTTACGACACCTGACAATGGTGTACCGTACAATTTCGCTCTCTCGCCGGCGGATCGCGATTGCGTAATTTTCGTCGTGCCGAGATATTCGGCCGGACCTAGAAAGGAAATGCGTTATGTGCTTACAGTTGGCTCAACATTTATCTTACCTCTACATATATTTATTTTCGACGCTCGATAAGTTTATGTTTGTGACATTTCGTTGCCAAAATTCTCCTTGCTATGTAACCTTGTTTATGTAAACATTCGTAGGAAAATTTACACTACAACATTGAAGATTATATAAATAGTAAGTATTAAAAAGACCATAACAATAAAATGTACGAGTTTCAAAGTCAGATACAAAACGAAAGTCAACGTAGAGCTTGGTGATGCGCCGGACTCTAAATTTATAAAAAGGACAATTATATGCGTTGACTGTTCCGGAAGTCGGAAAGTTACAAGATTCGAAGAATTTTACGTATAATTAATTAATTATAACGAACCCGTCGGAGAATATTTTTCACAAAAATCTGATCGAGAAAACGTTGTAACGGCGATCCGCTAACAATCGAAGCCCCACAAATTAATTCCACGAACGAGGGGAACGCGATGTACGAGTGACTTGGTAGCACTTAATTAACAGAGCGAGAGAACACTTAAGCAAGTAGCTGTTCGAAGAGGAGAAAAAGGAGTGAGCGCATTTGCGAGTGCATTTCGTGATTAAAAATGCACACGTCGATCTTACGTTATAAAACACACCGCAATCAGTGGAGGCGAAATTCAGGTAGCCCATCTGAACGCTAAGAACAGTTTTCGCTTAATTTATTTTTACGTCAATTTTACTCAAACGAAAAGTACGATATCCATTCATCGCTTGAAAAATAACTGGATTAACCGTTTTACCGAAAAACAATCGTGTTATATTTATTATTCCTGAAGTAATTTCATCTCACGTGCGTGGACGGTCTGTAAAGCCTCTTGGTTCGCCAATAAACGTACCTGCTCGAATTGCGTTTGTACGCACTCAAATGAAGACGTCCACGGTGGAGAAGAGCCACCGACCGACGCGTTACGACCGTGGAACGCATTCCGCAGATTCCTCCTCGTCGATGCGCTCGTGTTGTATGAGTAAACACGCCGAGAGTAATAACCGAGACGAGCGTAAAAACCGTCCGCTGGAACTACTTTTGCGTAAGGAGGAGACCAATTGTGTCACAAGAAAGATCTGCTTATCGCGCGATATCTTTCACTTATTTATTATTCGGGATTGTATGTCTTTTTTTTCTTCTAACGCTACAATTCCAAGCAAATTTCTAAATACATCGTAGCTTATGAAGTCTGAGTTTTACGTAAACTACGTGCAATTCTCATCGTTACGACTCAAATGCATCTGTCATTTATCATTGGCTTATTTTTTGCTAGCCATAAGATCTACGAGAAATCGTAAATATTTACGAACGATCGCACTAAGTTACAATCATAAGTTCTTATACGAATAGCGTTTCAACTTAGTCTGTTACATAAGAAGTCGGAACGTAGCCGAACTAATGGGAAAAATTCTGATTTTTCGAATTCTCCTCATTAGACCATCGATAGGGAACAAATTTTTTTTTCTTTCAGCAACGAATGAGCAGCAAGTAAAAAATATTGATTCATTTTGTTCCTCTGAGGCCGGACGGGTCCTCTCACGCACTTTTTGTTTCTACTTGCAACGCTCAAACGACTAATATTTACGCGCTCGGCATACGAGCAACCGTATTATTCACGCCGCGTTTCATGAATTGCAAAGCTACAAACAAAGAGGAGGAGCAGCGCCGACACAGCATCACAGGGCGCTCTCGAAAGACAATGATCGGCCATTCTCGCTCTACGTAATGATACGGTATGACCTACGATCTAAGGAGTCGACGTTGCAAAACGGACACATCGGTCGGCTTGAAAATCGCCGGCGATACATTCCGTTGCTCCCTTTCTCGTCTTCGAAAAACCAGACGCGGCCCGTAATTACGCGTTGCAAAATAAAAGTGGGCCGATTCTTGCGCCGTCCGACGGAAAAGAAACTATTTCGAGAAAATAACGACTCGATAAGTACAGTGTACGATGACAAAGTTGAGACGGCGGCTACGCACGCGATTATCGCCTTTCCCATTAATGACAGCCGCTTTCACGATTCGACCCGCCAAAAATTTGACAGAGAACTCCACACACGAGGCTCCACAGTATGGAGGAAATGACGATTGAATTTTTCATTTAATCGCGCGCGAGAAGCGCAAGTCGGTGCTCTCTCAGTCGACGAGATGTTCAATCGAAAATTAGAAAGCTGCGGGAAGAAACCGACTGTCGTTGGACGCGAAAGACAAATCGGAGGTCTCCGTTAAACAGGTCTGTTGTCACCGAGCTGAAAGAAGTAACACATCGATCTCGAGGAATAATGACGGACATTGCGCGCTTTGAATAACCAACGACAGGATAGCGATGATGATGATGTAATTTATCGAAAGATCGCGCATTTCCTCGGCCGTGTAAGTTAGCTGCGCGCGTGTGTGCGCAGCTCGTTGTACATCGCCGATAAATCGCCGCGGTGAAAAGTAATAGCCGAGCGTATAATGATGTCGTTTGCCCGCGCCACGCCAATCGGCATCTTACGACGACGTTTACATCACTCTTTCTACCGGACCGATAATCGGATTTTAGACGCGTGTACCCGTAAATCGAAGCGGAGATGTCGTCGATTCGCGGAAATAGGAAAACCGTACGAGAAAGTTTTACGTAATTTTGCGTTTCTTTCTTAATTGCAACGTATTGTTCGCTCGCGAGTTACTCCACTTTTATTCATTTTAATTAATTGACTGCCAGCAAAAAATGTCTCTTCTGACATATCAAGGTGCTATCAAAATTTGTGAATATATGTTACAAAAATCTCTTGAACAGGTGAAAATTGATAACGCATGGCGATGTGAACACTATATTTTCACGAGGTCGATCGGACGTTTCAGAGCTACGTCATTATTTACATAACAACAGAGATTTTCTTCTGTCGCGGCTGCAAAAATTCACATGGTCATGGATTTTTATTGCGGATAATGCTTTCGTCATGCGAGTATCCTTCAACCTCGTCGCTAATTGCGTCCTCCAACTGACTAATCACGGACGAAGATTGCAGCCGGATAAAAATACGTCGACCTTTCACCCGCATTTAATGCGCAATGTAAGATACCGAGAAAAACATGTGTTTAGAGCGGTGTGTGATATCCCGGCGTGTATTGGCATAAATTTGATATTAACTATTTGTTTAATGATCGGCCAATTTCTGCCATGATATAGCATCGATGGACTTTAAAGAATCTATAAAATTCCATTTATCGATTGTCCCTCGCACACTCCGCTAGTTAAAAAAAGAGAACTGGTGTCACTAGTTTCATCTCGTACGGGAGCGTAATTACAATCCGCGGTATCGATCGAAAAGAACGACCTTCTTTCGTCGAGGAGAACCTGACAGTGGTCTCCGCGCGACTCATCTTCCGGAAGCGGCACGCTGTTAATGTGGGTTAACACGAAGGACAACGTGGTCGCATACTCCGAGTACTGTTAACCTGTGCCGACGAACTCATCGTCGTGCGACGTTCAATGATTTTTACTCAAGCAATGCTTGCACGGCGGGCATTCTGACGCGCAACCAATCTGTTGTGACACATTCGTGATCAATACATGAAAAAAAAGTCTTAAATCAAGAATAGATATAAACAAGAATATCATAATCTTCTTAGAAGACTTTTAGTCTTGAATTTATATTGATGCGTTACTTAAATTCAAGATTAAAAATTTTTTTAAGAAAATCATAATATTCTTACTTATATATGAGAATACCTATTCTCGATCTGATTTTTGTTTTTCCGTATAGTTCCAAGCTGTCATTTCGCGAGGAGGAGGCTGCTTATCGTCCTAAATTATTCGAATTAAACGCTCTAGAGATGTTTGTATGTAACACAGTCGTATTCATATTTTGTATGTTTATTATTATACATTTTTTTACGAAGCCGCAGCTTAGTAAACTATCTTGTACTATTGCGTTACATATTTACTAAATAATTATCAGCTTTACTAATATTCTCCTTTCTCTTCAAGAAGGCACTTCCCGCACAAATGAAGAAAGAAAGAAATAAAACTGTCGAGCTCGAGCCTGTACGCCGTTACCAATTGAGATCGCGTTGGTGACTGATCGCACATTTATCCGCTTTCAGCATCGCGATGCCTCGTCTCAGAAAACCACCGAGTTACTTATCATAATCAGTTTCCTCTGAAACATATTTTCAACGGCATTTCATACCTTAAATTAGCGATGCATCACGGTCAAAACAGAGAGATTGAGGGGAATCCGAAGGAAGAGAGAAGCTCGAAATACATTAACTTCTCCTCGACCGAGCAAATTAATGATCGGAGAATGACGTCCGCCAGCTAATTGAATAACAAATCGAAATTTTGGTCGTTGTCTCCGACGAACGTCGTCGACCGACCGATCACTCATACCACGATGAAACGGCTGTTTCAAAACAGCTTTGTTCTCGATAGGCCGAGCCGATAACGGTTCTCAGGAGGAACGGTTATCGAGACGACGGAGAAGAGAAACGCGAGAGACAACACTGATAAGCACTCGTCAGGTAAATACGTCGAAAGCTGGTAACGGATCTCCCTCGCGAGTAGGCTTCCGAGGACGGACGATCCCGGGGCGGAGCTCCGGGACGCGAAGCGTGAAATTGCCGCGATCGGCACGCGTACATCGAGCGACACGAATAATGGTCTTCTCTTTCATAGCCGCAGATCGAGTCGCGGCTGGATGCTCTCCGCGGCGGAGATATTGCGGCACAGCATCCTCCGCTGCCGGTCGACGATGATCTCAACAGCGCGTAACTCCGGTCACGGTTGCGAAGGGGATTTGAAAAACGTCCGTCGTTGTCTCTTAGAGAGGGGGAGGGGACGAAATACTCCAATTTTGTAATTGTTGAATGGCCCCTTACGAAAATCCCTGTGATTACGGAAGAATACCAGACACGAAGGGGAAAAATGTGCGATTAATATCGTTGCTAGTTGCGACACGGAGGAAACGCGGGAGGATGTATCGAAGGAAATATCGCACCGTGACGGCGCTTACGGCAACGTTCGAGCGACGGCGCAGCGATAAGTCACGATGTAAGATTTATAAAGCAACATCATCGCGATCGTGTTTCGCAAGGGCCAGTTGGGAAAGCTCGATGAATCTCGATGAAGAGCGCGATACACTCGATTGAGACGCAACATACCGGCTGCTTACGAAAGGGGTAAATGAAATAGAATGGGATGAATGGACGACCCTTAAATACAGCAGAAGGTAGGAAGAAGGACAACGCGTGCCGAAATTGGCACGCGTTAGGCAAAGAGAGAGATCTCCTCGAGCAGGGCTTGGCGTTTCTCCAGAAACGTCCGCTTGGACATTTCACTTTCAAAGGTTTCCATTTTGCCAGTATTTGGTACTCGAAATATCCAGGTGAGTATAGCGAACCACCAGGTGTAACTCTAATTACATCGAATCTTGTTTTACACAGAAGATTATATCTTCTTTTCGGATGGAAAATCCGGATGAAAGGATATCGTTTGCAGACAAACTTATCGGTCCTTGTTAAAATGTTTGTGTGAAATGTTTAACACACTCGTATAATTTGGCGCGCTGTAAATATGAAAGGAGAAAAAAAATCGCTGGGAACACTCACTGACCTAGGATGCAAGACGAGTTGGTCTTGTTGCTCGACATGAAAGTGATCGCGATACAAGTAGGCCAACGCGGCGAGACTGGCCTCCGAGCGAGAGGCGTCATCAAATTTCATTTCATTTTTGCGTCAAGTCGAAAGTTCATTTTGCTATTTCCGGTCGTTGTTTTGCAAGCGTAACACATTCGTTCTTCTCTTCCTGTGTCGTTTGTCATTTAATGGCAATTGTACTGAAACCGTTAAATATGTTAAATGTATCGCGATACTTTTCACTTACGAACAAAATAAAATCGATGACGTATGAGGTGAAATAATACTTGGATCGATGTATTTATAAACTTTCCTTACGCATGAAATCTAAAATTGCCGCACACACCAACTATACGAGAGATCTCGTACTACACTGAATATTTAGGAAAGCAGCAGTTATATTAGGTTGGTGCGTATGAAATGTCGCATTCTCTTTACATGCGGACGTTTTCCTCCCTGTTTCCGTTATACTTTTGTATTTGGCATAACCTCATTCATACTCGTATTGTCCATTGCCAGAGACTCATTTCAACAAAATAGGTTTTCTCGAAGGTCTTCCCTTTTTTATTTCTTTTGAGTTTATTACCGATATGAATTCTGCCGACATTCGCGTCATTTTCTTATATGAGTACAAACTTGGTAATAGTGCTGCAAAAGCTGCACGCAACATAAACCAAGCGTTTGGGGAGAATACGGTTAACAATCGGAAAGTGCAGCGTTGGTTCGAAAAATTTCGGACTGGCGATTTTTCACTGCAAAATGAGCCGCGCGGAAGACCCAAAACGTCTGTGAATAATGATGACCTGAAGGCTCTAGTGGAAGCGGATCCAGCCGTATCCACGAGGGAACTTGCTATCAGGATGAAAGTTGACCATACAACGATATTGAGACACCAAATTGTACTCCCATCGCTTGTGAATCGGCATGGCCCGCTACTGCTCCATGACAACGCTCGGCCGCACACATCGCACAAAACAATTGCGAAACTGAACGAACTGGAATATGAAGTTTTGCAGCATCCACCATATTCACCGGATCTCTCGCCGACCGATTTTCATTTTTTCAAGCATTTAGAGCTGTTTTTAAGAGGCAAACACCATGAAAATGAAGACAGTCTAAAAAACTCGATATCAGAGTTTATTAATTCTAAAGACCAAAATTTTTTTAAGACAGGCATCTACGCTTTAAAATCTCGTTGGGAGAAGTGTATTGAAGCGAATGGAGCATACTTTGATTGAATAAACAGCTTTTGAAGAAAGATATACAGTTTTATACAATCACTTAAGAATCCGACATTTCATATGCACCAACCTAATACAATAATTCCATTGCTGTTCGCTTTTAGTGCAATTTAAAACATCGGATAGTTCTGTCAGTAGCAGGGTGTCGTCGGGAGTTGACGACGAGTGTAGTGTAAAAATTAGAACGCGTTAATATAACACTTCTTTCATTCCTTTTCTTGGGAAGAAGTTTGTGTATATAGCCGCTACACAGGCAAGTCGCTGTTAAACATACGCGAGCCTGAATAGAACGCAATTTATCGCGCGTCGTTGATACACACGTGAGTAATTACTCAGGGAACGTAGATGAATTCTCGACTGTAGGCCGGAATATCCCTCCCGATGAAACTAATCCGTCACTAATGACCGGTTGCGGCAAGGTCACCCGATGATTAACCTTTTCGACTTCTTTGGCGCCCACAAAAACCGTATTAGTTAGTTGAACGCTTTTCGCCGATTTATCCTACATTGATTATTAATCTTCTCGTGTTACACCTGTCATTAGAATCTGTCGACACAAGCGACGAACGTAATCCGGCGCGCCGCAAGGTCCGGCCGAATCCTTGATAGCGTTTTCTTCGCCATCCCTGATTCGTATCTCGTCAAGGTCGACGTCAACACGACCGTGTTCTCTGTACGCGATTGATCTCGCTGCGGGCCTCTTATTACGAGAAAATTCGAAGGCCTTATTTGGCTTATCATATGGTCGGTCTTGCCCGAGTGACCGCCTTATGACCAGGTAAAATTCGTTATTCGTGTTTATCATACGCTCTTTCCTCGCTTTTACCTTTCAAGCGAGAAAACGGACGAGTTTCCTGACTCGTGAAATCCGTATGTACGTCTAAAAGTCAGACGTCTCTCCTTCGTGTTCTTTTCGCGGAGTGATCAGACGTACTCAACGACGCGTGCTTTCTTTAGAAATGTCCTCGAAACTTTTCCAGCAATTTCTCGTAATTTGTCCGAATATTTTCTACCTTTTGCACACAACGCTTTATCTTTATAATCCACAAACTGAATTCGTCAATTCTTGTTACGCATTCGTCGAAATATGCGTTGGAAGCACTTGAGAAGTTAATCAATATAATGACAAAATAAGAAAATTTCACAATAGTAGGTAATTATTCCACATCTTACATTAGTGTATAATTTTTATAAGAAAAATCAATCTACGTTCTTCTTCATTATATATTGCGTATCATCAGAATAGAACGCAGACTGTACAAATGACTGTGTAAATATGATGTAAATTAGGTTCCACAAAAATTTAAGTGGTTAAGTGTGCTGACGTGGCAAATAAAAACAATTACTAGTCACGTTTAGTAAAACAAAGTAGTTAACAAAGAATTATTCACGAGGTCATCCGAATTAAATATTGACTGTATATATAAGGTGTCCGGGAAGTTACGACATATGCAGATAGAATGGGTTAGGATAATCGTGCGCTCATTCGCTCATTCGCAGATTAATTAATTATTCATTAACTATTGCGAATTTTGCAAAATGCTTTCCTCAGTTTAACTCCGTTCAACTCATTCTACCTGGCTGCTTTGTCAAAACTTTCCGGGCACTCTGTGTGTAAAGATACGTGACAAGTCAACTATTTGCTAATTAAATTCTGCCAAAAGCTCATTAAGAGTTTTAATAAATTTACAATTTATAATCAGTACGTGTATATTTCCGGTGAGTCAAATAGTCGTCAGTATTTCGATAAGGTTGCACCGAAGAGAACGTAGCTGATAGAAGCAACACTAGGTGAGACAATACTTTGAATAATGCGAAACTACCGATCTTCATTGTCTGTAGATTCAATTGATCTTTGACTATAGCGCTAACTTTTAATTCTCCAATGTCACGTAAAGTTTAATACTTTGCAAATTCCCCGTCGAAAAGATCACTTTGCGATATATAGTTCACGAAAGCTATTTTACGAAAAATATCTTTAATTTTACAATATTATACCGGAAGCATTTCGGATCATGGAACTTGACGAATCTGTGGTCAATGGAGTATCGACGACGGAGTTGGGTAAGAAAAATTATGAATGGAAGATCGTTTGGAGGAATGTCATCAGTTTCATCTATATCCACCTTGCGGGTTTTTACGGAATGTATCTGATGTTCTTCCACGTTAAATATCTGACCGTCCTCTGGTGTACGTATCTTATTTCCTCGGCTTATATTCCGACTTTAACATGTTAAAAAGCTCATAGTGTGCGCACAGAAAATTATAAGGGAAGATGCTACATGTTGGACCTATATTGTACTCAACGCGTCATCTAGTGACATTTTCGCTTTGTTAATGTCAGGATTCTTGTCTATGATGGTAAATATAATGCAACATGTAATAGGCTCTCGTGAAGACATCAAGAAAATACGATGTTGGTGCGAATAAATTATTTTATTCTTATTATGGGAGGATAAATACAATGAATTTTCACATTAGCAAAGGGAAAAAATCACTAGTTAGCACTGAAATCGATATGAGTACAACAGGTCCAAGGTATAGCATTTTCTCCGAAACTTCACAAAAACGACAACTCGACGACTCATGTACTATCCAGCGATCGTTTACAATTTTTAGACATCGCTTGTACTGTCTTCATAAAGATAGGGGTTACTGCCGGAGTTCATCGATTATGGTCCCATCGGAGTTACAAGGCAAAGTGGCCAATGAAACTTATCTTGATGATTCTCCAGAGCGCTGCATATCAAGTAAACACGACGAACGTCCTCTTTTTTCCCTGCGAATTTGATTTTTCGTATTTTATCACGTCGCTGAACACGATATTGGCCACTTTTGGTACGTTTTTCTCACCAGGATACGATCTATCAGTGGGCCAGAGATCACAGAGTGCATCACAAATACACCGACACCGACGCGGACCCGTACAACGCGAGCAGAGGATTGTTCTTCTCCCATATCGGTTGGCTGCTAGTTCGTAAGCATCCGAAAGTCACAGAGAAAAGCGCCATGATCGATTGCAGTGACCTCGAGCAAGATCCCTTCGTGACCTTTCAGAAGAAGTACGACGAGCACAGTTTTTTCTCGCGTGAACGATAATTTTACCAGCGCGACCAACGGTTCGGTACAACCAGGTCACCCCCTTCCTTCTTTAGAACCGCTTTTTTCCTTTTATAAAACTGCGCACGGTTCCTTTTTTTTTTTCATTATCTTCCTGTGATATCTTTTTGTAATTATCTGTAAACTTTTTTGAACTTTTATGATATTGCTTAATGGTAAGTTGTTTTATGGCTTAAAGAAGGCTTCCCAGTAATGAAAAGGCCTAATGAAATGAGAAAAAACGAGCCAGCCACGGTTCTAATAATCGATCGGACTATTGCATCGCTTCTCGCTCACACCTTCTTTCCTCGTCCCAGGTGGTACGTATGGCTGATGCCGACTTTCGGCTTTATCCTGCCGACACTGATACCCTATTGGTTTTGGAACGAGACGTTTTCGCATGCGTGGCACGTCAACTTTGCCAGGTATTGCACGAATCTTAACACCTCCTGGACGGTAAATTCCATCGCTCACGCATGGGGCACAAAACCATACGACAAGTACGTAGTAATCCGTTTACGACGTATCGTAAAATACGCGCTCTAACTCAACGAAACGTGTTTACGATAAAGTGTTGCTTCAATGTTTACTTTCAATCGCTAGATCTATCAGACCCACTGACAACATCGGCGTCGCCATAGCATCGTTGGGCGAAGGCTGGCATAATTATCATCACGCCTTTCCGTGGGACTACCGGGCAGCAGAGGAGTTTGGGATTTATAGAATCAATGTTACCACGATTTTCATTCAATTCTTCGCTTTGCTGGGTTTGGCGTACAATTTGAAGGCCGCGCGACCCGAAATGATAAAACATCGTGTTAGTCGAAACGGCGATACAAGTTATTAATAAGTCTGAACTATATTGTACGAAAAAATGACTCTTCGGCGTGAATTCGCATCGAGAAAGAAGAGCAAAATTGTGAAGCGTTTTTTCTAATTGCAATTTTACATCGAAGAGCCTCTTTCAATTTTGTACCACAGCCGCGCAGTTGGGGGAGAGACGCCAAAAATGTGAGTATGGGATAACATTAGCATGTGACTAAAAAAGAACGATATTCAAACTGTTCAAGACATTTTCGTGATGAATTCTTAACAACTAACTATTTGTGAAATTACGCAAGGTTGTAGTCGGTATCTTCTGAAAATATCTCTAAAAGGCCTAAGTTTTGTCCGCGGCTCTGTTACACGGCCATCTAAGTTGAGAATAAAGGCGCGCATTCATATTAATGCCATACAAACACCATGCAAATTATTACAGAATCCAAAGGGTTCTTTTTGGATACTTGCGCACGATACCTCTCGTCTATTCCCAGCTCTAATATGCACGAACGCATGGAATGCCGCCGATGTCGCGCGTGATGCACGAATGCAGCACATGCGATCGCCGATGTGAAAATATTCGAGAACAAATTGGTCACCGTTAGCTTAGACGAAGTATAAAACGCGGAAGGATAGAAAATGAGGCACTCCCGAGTAATTAGAAAAAATTTCAAAAAAGATAAACAGGTCGGTAGATAATTCACACTATGTAATAATTACACAGTGTGTAACTACACAGTAAAAAATGCATTAAAAATGATCCACTGAAATTTTGTGTTATTTTAACGTAGAAAATGTATTAAAAAGTATACAAATATAATACGAAATTAACACATTCACTTTGTCAACAAGTGTATTTGTGTAATCGTTAAAATAACACAATAATGTTAGATTTAATCAAATTCAATTAAAAGTTAAAGTAAATTTCAGCAGACTGTTTTTAACGCAAAATTCTTTTCTGCGTAGTATACGTTTTGAAAAAGTCAACTCTTGCATTAGAGATTAGCTTAATGAAGTCAATAAAGGTAGCCGTGACGAAGGTGGAAGCGACTGTTTAATTTTGATTCGCTCTATTTGTCGACTCTCAATCGATCATTTTTAATAACAGCGATATCAAAGGTGTTGATGACTGAACGGATTTTTAACGGAGAGTAAAACAAGTTATACTTTTGGAACATACGACATATCCCAACTCTGTATTAAAAGTCGCTGAAATAAGCCTTTACGCTCGAGATACGGTGATTTACGTTTCGTGATTTTCCTTGCGTGAGAAAGTAAAACTTCTCGCGAGATTCTCCCTAGTAAATCGAGCGGCCGCCTCCTCGTCTCGATTTTTTTACGACCCAGTTAGCTTGGTATGGATCAATTAACTGTCACTTAACCAAAGAAACGACAAGACTTGTCGAACGAATCATCATGCCTTGGCAGGCGAATCGGGGGCTGACTTCGACAGGAATTCGTACCTGCAAGCGTCATTCGGGTAACAAGCGTCGCGTAAAGTGACACCTGCTCTCCTCGGCATTCGTAAACGTCGAGTGTACACCGTATAATTTATAAATACGGTATCCCGACACCCATCGAAGGCACTCGTATATTTACTGTAACGCAGCGCTGCGACAATGTACTTTCACCTATCGAGAGTTACTACGATTCTCTCGACAAGTAATCGAATTGTACAATTTATATATTTATGATTAAACCGACGATTAGAATAAAATTGTCAAAGCTGAATCGTTAACGTTATATGGCGATTAATCTAAAAGATCGAAATTGTAAGAATTTTTTTTTCAAAGTTAACACGATGACTTATCACTCGCGAAAATATGCATTGAACGTCGGCGGTATCGCGGTAATGCCTCTCAGATCTGCGCGACCCGGCGGCGAGACGCGATGAAAGTTCGAAGTAGGTAAACCAGCCTTCGAAATCCGGCGTCGTTGCGAAAACGGCCTTGATGCGAGAGAGTCACCCACGCTCGGATGAATTATTACTAAATAGCTGAGAAGGACGACAATGCGGTGTCGCGTCAAATCTTGCCCCGTTACACGATAACTCGGTCAAAGAGCCTTAATTAGGAACGAGCATGAACTCTGCCGATAATTGAGGTCATCCATTTTTCCCGCGTAAAATATCCCCGAGACGTGTTGGAGATTCTATCACTCGAAAAAATGGTCTTGCAGTCATGGCGAAAATGATACGAGAAATTAGCTAAGATGGAGCTAGCAAACATCACACATGTGTTAGTAATATAGATGACAGAGAATTTTCATCTAAAACTATTTGGCAAGAAAGTCTTCCTGTGGAGCCAATTCAGATTAAGGTCAATCGCACTTCTCATTAAAATTAGTAACAGGAGATAAATTTTCCTGCGTGGATCGCCAGAATGCTGCTTCTGTAAATTATACAATTTTTTAGCAAATACAGAGAACAGCGATACATTTTGCCAGTGATATCGACAATTCTAACTGGACCATTTTCCTGAGCGATCAATTAAAGAGTGCAACGTACACCTTATCCACGCTCCTTTCATCCGTTTTATTGATACGCACTCGGACGGAGTACATTCGCGCGCACATTTACCCGATATGAAGAAAGAATCGCGGCAATTTGTTCGCGCGCCGAGATAAGGGATCTGCCAAATAAATGATCACGACGGTAAGCGCGCGCGGTGAGCGCCGTAATGCGCCGTCTCGGCAGCGGGGAAGTCGCTGTCCTCTCCGTTAAAGAGGCCTTTCCTCTCACGTACATATACCGGGTGTGTCGCTTTGCTCGAATCGATCAAGAGGCCGATGTTCACGCTCCGTTTCAGCGGAACGTCATATTTTTAAGCGCGGCACTCGTCTCTCTCCCGGCATTGCCTTTTTCCTGGGAGGCGGGTAGGAATTGAAGCAACCGCGCGTTTCCAGCGCGGGAGAACGTAACGCTGGCATTGCGCCGAAACGGAGGCTGACTTTTGCCGCGAGTCGATTATTAAATGGGTAGCCTAGCCGTATCGTCGTGAGTAGCACGCTGCCTGGTAATCGGAAAACGAAGACAATGGCCGCGGGTAAGGTTAATAGCCTCCACAGCGCACAAGTGTCTCTCGCGCACACACGCAACGCGCGGCTGCTGCACGCATGGACGGAAGGAACGTTCTGCAGCGCGATGTCACGCATGAGATAATATGTCCACGGCGATATCGAGAGGTCGACTCTCTTAAATCCCCGCTTAGAGAGAAGTAAACGGCCGTTTATTCAATCAGCGTGACGTTACCACCTGTCTTTGCACAATTTTGCTAGAAAAACAGAAGATACGAAGAAGAAACGTCGCGCATTGTTGTGCGCCGATTTTTTTCGCGAGGCTATCTTTGAAACTATAGTTTCAAAAAAAAAAAATAAGAAAGGAAACAGCTATGAAAAATTAGCTATTTATATAATACAACTAAAATTTAGTTGCCACACTTAATTTTCAACTGTGGGAGCTAATTCTTTTTTTACAACTACAGTAGTTAATTGTGTATAGTTATGGTTATAAAAATTAGCCCCCGCAGTTAAAAATTAGATGTAATAATTAAAAGTCAGTTTGTTATTTTATACGGACAGCTAGTTTTTAGCTGTGGGAGCCGATTTTTTTTTTCCATGTAAAAGAAACTACCGCTGTCTCCATATGCATTATAAAAAAAAAAGAAAAATGTTCCGTATAATAACGTAAGTAGACCACTCGTATATATTAAATCGGGTTTAATTAATTCCAAAGCAGAACCAGACGCTAGTACGATTCTATTTTTAGCCAATCGCGGTCCGCACGTCCTACTCACCGTCCGCGCGATTTAAAAGGATTGGGAAATATGAAGGATTAGACAGTCAGTCGCGATCCAATCGAAAGTCATTCGACTTCTCGGAACCCGGGTCAAAGGTGGCTCGGTCGATCGGTGTGTCTTTTCGACGCGTCATCGTTCACCAGGCATCGAAGTCTCCATTTCTCGCGCGACTACGCACTGAATTACACCGCGCTCGCTCGCGCGCGGTAACGGTTGCACGGCGACAAATAATTGATCGAAGGGAAGCGAACGAGTTCGTCGGCTTGGAAAAGCGGCAAGAACAGGACGGAGCATTTCCTCTTCTCGAGCCGGTAATTTTCCTCAAGTTTTTACCGGCGCGACCAACGGTACGGGCCAACCAGGTCACCCCCTTCCTTCTCTCCTCTTCATCGCCCTACTCCTCAGAGGTATATTGTGAGCCCGATCGTCGTGATGAAGAAACGCCACGATGACAATGCCAACGGCGACGAGAGGAATTTACACGAGCGCCGCTTCACGACGATGAGTTCGCCGGGAATTCATTAATTGCTTAAACGAGGTGACCGGACCACTGGCTTAACGGACAGCTCGTTTGGAAATCGGGGACGGTGAGATATGGATTCGATATACCCCTTTCAGACCCCATGGCTTCTGACTATATTGATTCAACACTGTTAACCCTTCGACCGCATTATAGGTTAGATAGACCCAGTGAGTTTGAAGAGAAGTGCATCGAAAATTAGAATTTTCTTTCGGTAAATTTGATTTTCTATGAATGCGTCATTTAAATATTAAAGAGTTACACTTTATTCTAGAATATTTTGCTAATCTCCTTTTTTCACAGTTTTTTTTTTTCAGATATGGAGTTTAAAAAATCGCGCAATATGATCCTGTTTTCAGAAGTGTGCGGTCTACGTGTCGCCAAAGTTGAAAGTAAAATGAGAGCCCTATGAGGCCAACATCACGAGGCATGAAGTTAGTACGCGATAATATTTCCATATTTGGAGGCACGAATGTCCCTCGTATTTATCTTATTTCAACTTCCAACTTGGATGATACACAATGAAATCTCTAACTCCGATCTAACCGACAACGCACGTACAACAACGCGAGAGAACTCATTCGTGCGATTATCCTTCGAATAGCGTTAATTCGTGTAACGATGTGAACGGACGATTAATCGCACGATCAGAGTGACGTCGACGAAGTGGTTCGCATTATTTCGTTCTCCTCAAGGTTCTCTTCGAGAATT